AAAGTAAGATGGTGAAAATAAGTAATTCCTGGTCTTTTCCAACAGACATAGCCTTTGTTACATTACCTGTGGCTTGAGGTTGAGGGAACAAAAGGAAAAGTGTCAAAGTTAACTGAAACTGCTTTGAAATTATTGAGTCAAATTTTTCATTATTTATTTTCATTATAATTTTGCTTCTATATCTTTCCCCAAGTTATAGTCTGGAAGGACAACTTCTGCAAGAGCTCAACTTTTAAAAGCGCGCTTCTGAGGCAGAAGTTCTCCTGTAAATCTCTCTTCCTCTCTCCCCTCTTTCCACTCAACTTTTCATCTTCCATTATCAGGACACCAAGAGTTGGAAACTAATAGTTCTGCAAAGGAGAAATTAAAGAAAACACAGCTTCCCAACCATAAATCTTTACACAGGTTTTAAGTACACTAAAACAAATGACCATCCTATCCTATAAGAGCTCAATGGGAAGGCAAGCATCCTCACCTGGGGCACCAAAAAGATGCGTCTTGCCAGCTTAGTAACCCACCCTTCTTATTCACAGCGCCCCCCACCCCACCCGTGAGCCTCAGGTGTGAGGTGTAACCAGGAACACTGATGAGAAGACTACTGCTAACCGTGAAGTGGGGGCGCAGAGGAGGACGCATTCGCTGCCAGTGGGGAAAGGTGCCATACTTGGGGAATAGAGATGGCTGAATGCCAAACAAACCAACCATTCGCATCCCCTTCGGGCCTAAAGCCCTAGCCTCTGTCGTTTATGTCAGTTTTCCAACTCTGGAACGATGGCAAAGGACCACACTGTAGTGGCAATCAGCAGACCCCAGCTGAGCACAGGGACGTCCCAGAACCAACGGTCAGGACCATCAACCCTGGCTTCTGAGCAGTTGTTTTTCCTTCCAGTCACTTCCTTCCTGGAATCCTCTGGCAAGTGTCTGGTCACTCACACAGGCCACCCTCCAGTCCGGGGCCGCTGGGACCCCTACTGACTGCCCCCGCCTAGGGCCTCGCGCCCCCGACAGCTGTGTTCTTGGCAAAGTTTCTCAACCTCTCTGTTGACTCCTTCGGAAGACTGAGGACCAAAACACCCATTTCCCAAGGATGCTCCAGAGATGAACCAGCAGCTACCGAGTCCCTGCGGCCTCGGGAACCCGGCTGGCTGGCGCGGACTGGGTGCACCGCTCTCCCGCCAGGGAGGAGCCAGACGTGGTGGAGGGCGGGTCCCCGAGGCCGCAGGGTCTGCGTCGGGGTGGACGGCGGCAGGTGAGCCTCCCCCTTCCTGGGAACCGTCCCTTCCTGGAAGGCACGGCCTGAAGTGGCCTGGGGCGCAGGACGGCCGAGAGGGCCAGGAGGTCGGGCGCAGCAACAGGAGGGCCACTCACCACGACGTGCGCGCCGGGCAGGGCGAGGGGCTTGGGGCTGATGAGCGGAGACACCATGTAGAGCAGCAGCACGAAGGCCACAAGGAAGGCG